GTAAGTAAACATGTTCTTAAAGATTAAACAACAATCAACTGATGTGTTTATACTAAGTTTAGAGATCTTGAACAGTGTTTTAAGGAAAAACCAGGCCGTAAGAATTATTAAGAGAAAGCACTGTATAATGCTACGGTGGTAAATTATCTATTAAAAAATATCAAAATTTTTCGTGATTGGAGACACCACACCTATAGGGTGTAGGGCAAGGGTTTCAACTATGAACCTACGCCGAAGTCTATTGTTTGGCGGTTCCCTTTGCCTCCTTCCACCTGATATTCTCGTTAGCGAGCTTTTCTTTCACACGGGGCTTCTAGGACCACTTTAGACGGTCTCTACCTCTCTACCCCTGAGGGTTCCATTCCAGGGCGGTACAGCACAGATTCCCATGAAAATTAACCAACCTGATGCGTTCTTTCTTCCCACAGTGCTGCAACCTTGAAGTCCATAGATGACATTGGTGAGGGAATGGTCAGAGAAGGGACAAAATGCGGAGATGATAAGGTACCACTAAAAAACTTAGCCCTATCCGCTTGCAGAACGATCCACTCATTAATAATTTATCATTACAATATCACTTCGTTGTCGGGTAGAAAAAATGATGGGAAGATAGCGAATTACTAGTAATGGAGCATTTTTTACTTTAACACTCAAATTCTGAAATTTTAAGAGACTAAATTGTTAGAAATGTTTGGCAGAAAATGTATAGAATGATTTTGAAACTGCAGATACTTGCGCGAATTATCTTCTATGTGACACTTCAAGGGCCGTTTACGCCACAACTGAAATTTAAAAAAGAGGAATTTTTTATACGAAAGAATTACTGAAAAGAGATCTAACCTAGTAAATTAAACCTTGTTTTCCGAGTTTTGACGAGTCAATGACGGCAAGAACTTCAACGCATTTTGTTGCAGATGTGTGTAGATAACCAGTGTCAGACGTTTGATTCTCTCAACTTCGGAAAGTGTCCAGTGATGAACAACAAGGAGTGCGGGGGAAGAGGGGTAAGTCTATGTTTTAGGGTGAGTTTTTCAAGTTCTTTGTTTGTAATTCATGTTGATCCTCTGACTCGTCAGAAGCAGTGTGACTGAGTAATTAGGGTGCTGAATTTGTAATTTGGTGTTCCCGCGTTCAAGCCTTTTATCCTGATACTCCCTTGATTTGTTCTCGTGTGATTAGGGTTCAATCTTTGGCTGCACTTTGAATATAGCCAACTGCTCTGCCCCTGCCAATTGGGATTTTATAAAACGCTTTGTTCATTCATATTGTTTGTTTGCAATTTGTTT